GAAGATCCTTCGCCCTGTCTTCGAGCGAACCATCGAGAAGGATGGCGACATGTCATCTTTGAGCGTCTCTGGGAACAAAATCACAGAAGATCTGGACAGTACGCAGGCGAGCTCGATGCGGCAACTGTACGACATGCAAGACCCGGACACCATGTACTTCGCCATCCCAGGGGGCGAGAGCGGCAACCCGTACTCGGAGTACTACCAGAACCTGCTGGATAAGTTCGCCAAGCGTGACTACGTGAAGGTGGCAGCCTCAGTGGGCGCCGTCAACGAAATGCTGGAGGGCGGCCGAGCCAGGCACCACCAAGTACTTTCCCCATGAGGACCTCGCCGCAGAAGAAAAGCGTGGACACGCAGTTTTGTGTCGAAAAAAAAAAGGCTTGGAAAAAATTAAATCTCTGCCATTGAGCCTTTTGTTATATTTTTGTTTTAAGGAATACAGAAGCAAAAAATGTTATGAACGCCGCCGTATGTATATGTATGCATATTTATTTATATTTCGTAGGCTTTTTTATCTTTGTGGAACTATCCTTTCATTGTTTTTTTTTTCTTGTTTTGGCCAACACATTGACCCATCATTTTTTTTTTGTTTGAAAGGCGGACTCGGCCACGTTCCGGGGAAGCAGACGGTGCGAGGTGGGCAACGCCACCCGTACGTGTTATTCATGGAAGCTTATGCTTATTTCGTGCAGGTACATTCTGCACGATGAATGAGAGACTACTGAGAGGGGCGATGAGGGACTACTGGAGCACGTGTTTCCCTTTCTGTTCCAGCCAGCAATACTGGTAAACTCTTCCTTCCACATTTTTTTTGACTGTTGCCTTTTATTGCGTGTGTACGCTCGCACGTGATTCTGAAGGACTAGTAACAGCAGACAACAAAGGATGGAGAACGGTAAGTCGGAGCCCATAAATAAGGAGCCACCGGCCGAGCACAATAAAGACGAGAAACAGGCACAGGAGTCAGATGTGACCGCTTGCGACCGTGTGACGAATGCCGTGGCACTATTCCTGCTCGCTGCTGTCATGGCAACGTCGGTTGTTTGCATGGAAGACTTACGACGGCGACACGCCGCTGTGTGTGCTTTCGTGTTCCTCGCCGTTGCGGATTCGGTTGGCCACGTGGTTGCGTCGGGAGCTTCTTATCAGCGTATCATGCAGAAAAAAAATCATACTGGCGCTGAGGAGTGGCAGTGCAGCTATGAAATACTTTTCGCAAGTGCGATGTTGCTCTTCTGTCGGGCCCTTTAATATTTTTGTGGATTTTGATCGTGCTTTAAATCCTCTTAGCCTTTTTGCTCGCTATTGAGAAGAAGATGGGCGGTTTTTTGACTGTTTGCTCCCACACCGCATGTGCCCTGTCTCCCGTGGAAGCAATAGTGCTACATTGCGAGGAATCCTTTTGTCCGCGTGGTGGTCCCTGTCATTCCTTTTTAGTTCTTTGCTGGAGTTTTGGGGGGGATGTGCTGGAAATGACTGCTACAGGTGGCGTGCCCTGTGCCGTTGGAGTGTTTCCGCTTAGGAGGCACAAAGGTGCCTGCCAGGAGGCTTCTGGTAGTAATGGGGAAGCAGACATAGGTGGTGGGTGGAGCTTTACGGGAGGACTTTTGGCATTGAGTCTGCCACGATTCTGCCCAATGAGACCGATAATGCTATTTTTGAAAAGCTGATAATTTTTTTTT